TAAAAAAGATGATTCAAAAAAATCTCACCCCTATGGAACTACTTAGTAGGCTGTATAGGCCACTCTGCACTTAACAGAATGTGCATACAGTGAGTCATTACTTCTCGAGTCCACAGCTTTGAGTATTCATTGTGCTGTTGAGTGCATTGTGTAAAATCAGGCTTTCCACACATACCGCCACAGAGATCATCTTCCGTGCATGCTTTCTCATTAAATGGGTATTCCACTTCAGTATGCACATACGCTACTCACGGAAATGGCAGAGCTGCCTCATAAAAACATAGTTGCTATAAAAAGACAGACTGAAATAATGTGCATTTATTGTACGTTTTGCCTAAAGCTGTAGTCACGATACCAAAATGGCCTCCAAGAAACAGTGTCTGCATCCTTTTTGGACTAGTTTTGTTGCGGATGCTGAGTAACGTGGGGCTGTTCACACTGAAAACGCCTTTTAGAAAACAAACAAATATCTACTTGTTCTGCTTTTTAAAGTGAAACACCAATTTCTTCTGTGTTCAATACTCCACATATATTCTCAGAAAAAAAAGGCCGAAGGAAAAGTTAGCAACTAAAAGTCATGAAAAGTCAAAAGCTCAGAAGAACAGAAGTTGCCCATCATTCAAAACTATAAGCAGTGCTGTTTGTGAATGGGATTTTCCGAAGCTAATGGAGTATAGGAAGCTCTAGCTGCTTTCAAAAACCTCATCTTCTGTTCTGCAGTAGGAGCAAAAAAGAGATCAGAGCTATGAATCAAATGTAGATTTAATTCAGCAAATTGAAAAGCCTTTGCAAAATACTAGAGACCCAGACAACACGTGGTTCAAAAAAGTCATCCAGTCAACCTCTCCAAAGAAAATGCAATGAAATCATCCTCACAAAGTTTTAGCAGAGCATCAACATTTATAGAAGAGACACATTGTTAAAAATCTTTCAGTCTATGTTAGCAGAGATTGAACAGGACTAGAGAAGGGAAAGGAGGCTTGCTAGCATTAGTGCAGCTTATTTGCAGAACAAGCAGGGGCGAAAGTAAAGATGAATTAGCTTATAAAGAAGAATCTGAGGTGGCTTTTCTTGCATATTCATAGCACTGGAGTATATAGTAAAGGTTGTTAAAACTTTTCCCTAGTCCCCTGTGCCATCATTAACAGGCAGGGTTTGGATCTGGTGAGAAAAGAGGCAGCACAGGGAGCAGGACTTCCACAGCCAGAGTGGAGACCCAGTGATGACTCAGGAATCAGATTTTGTGGTTGTTAATGATGCCAGTAGGCATGCCAAGTGCAGGAAAAAAATTAATCAACCCTCCTATTTTGTGTTGTGAAATGATGATTTTCAGGG